GGGTGAAGAAGAATCGGAGACGCCGAATGAAGAGTTTTGTTAAGGCGTCGAAGGCCTTGAAAATCGATACAAGGGTCTTTCGCCTCGAAGAAAGAGAGAGAAAGAGAGAGAGAGAGAGGAAAAGGGGGAGAAAGCAACACACATCTTATACATTAGCGGAACAAAATCAACAGAATCAATTCTAATTAACATTTTTATTTGTTGCTCATTTGTTGCTAAAAAGTTGCCAAAGAAAAAAATTTTTTTTCTTTACCAGTTTTTCTTTTAAATGGTGTTCCGCTAAAGGAAGGATTAAGTTAGTGGAATAATATACATATAATAAAAACAATTTACTTCAAAATAACGTAAGAATTTATTGCTAATTTGTTGCTGTCGAAATATTCTAGTTTTTGAATTCATTACCTACGAAATAAATGTAAACATAACAAAGAAAAATCTCAGCTGGCGGAATAAGAGTAAAGCATTAGTAAAAAATTTGCTTGCTTAAAATTGGTATTTCCTGCATACTGAGAGATTTTCACAGCTATTAATCTGATTAGGTGTGAAAATCCGCGAAGTGTGATTTTAAGTGAGCAACAAATTTGTTCCGTCAACTTGCTGAGGTCTTTCGTTGTTATTTACACTTATTTCGTAGGTAATGGATTTAAAACTAGGATATTTCAACAGCAACAAATTAGCACCAAATTAGCAATAAATTCCTACGTCATTTTGAAATAAATTGGCTTTGTTATATAAATATTGTTCCGCTAACTCAATCTTCCTTTAGCGGAACATCGTTAAAAAAAGAAAATTGGTAGAGCAAAAAATTTTTTTCTTTGGCAACTTTTTAGCAACAAATAAGCAACAAATAAAAATGTTAATTAGAATTAATTCTGCACTTTTTTCCGCTAATAAGACTTAGGTAACACGCTATCATTAAGATGTAATCTTCAATCATTTCTAGCTAGCGCGACCTTGAACAATCACTTGTACAATCCGCAATTATCTATGTTCGGCCGAAAAGTCCTATATCTATATAGAAAAAAATCAAAGTTATTGTTAATAAAGTTACATAACGTCATGTATTTAAAACAAGTAAATCACATAACTGATTCTCAATCAGTATGTGATTTTTTTTAAATCACGTGATTTGAAATCACATTATATTAAAAATAATTTTTTATCAATCATATAATTTTATAGTTATCGAATTTTAAATAATTAAATAATAGAAATAGAAAAAAACATATCATCGTGTGACTTTTCATATTAAATTTTAAAAAATTACGTACTGGAACAATCTGTTATGTGACTTATATGTTTTAATTACATGATTTCGATAACTTTGTAACGTGATTTTTTTCAGAAAGGTCCTTTCTTCAGCTTTAATCGCAATTACGAGAATGGATAGCGTAACGATAAATTATTCTATAAATTACTCTAATAGTAAAACTTGCAAACATTTCTGTCAATACGATGCATGAGGATTATACAAGCAAAATCTCTTCCAAATCTTCAGCTTTCTGAAAACAAATGTTGAAATTTTTTGTCGTCATTGCTCTACTTTTTATTTGTGCTTTAAATTGGTCGGAAAATGCTTTTTGCAAAGAAAAACATTATAATTTGAAGTTTAAATAAAAAAGCTAAAGGTTTGGTACATCTACTGTATATCGAGACTTAATTTTTATTGATTCGATTAGGTGCGCCAGTTATCGACGCAAATCCCATTCAATCGTGTCTTTTCTTTCATAATAGCCAACGCGTAACGTGAAGTGCAGTTACACCTCTCTCGCTGCACCATGCCATTCGACATCGGACAGCGCAGTGCCGTAACACGCAATATAAATTAAACGGATGTAGCAAAATTTTTTGTAGATTCAAATATCTTTTACAAAATTCTTTCTTTCCAATACATTTGTCTGGATAGGCTTTACAATAAATTATTGAAACACAAAATTATAAATTTCAAATATAAAAATCTAACAAAATAAGAAATTGAAATCCGATTGCCTTCTCCGTTAGAATAGAATCTTAAGTTTAATGTGTATTCGTAAATATTTGAATTAATTCTCAAATACTTAGATATAATTGTTTTATTGAAATCGAGTAATTCTCGTAAACATCATACGTAATAGTAAAATTTCGTGCTACGAGATTGAATATATTGCAAATGATAACAATATCAAAATAAAAACTTTTTCTAATTCTTTTTAAATTTTTATAACTATTTCAAAATTTTAAAAAGAATATATCAAATAAATCAATTCATTATATCTTTTTCTATAAAAATATAATATACATATATATATATATAATAAACTAAGGCATAAAACAATGAGCGCACATATTTAATAAATATCAAGTAAAATATTATTATTAAATTTAATAACAAATAAATAAAAGTTTAAAATAAATTTCTGTATAATCATAATATATGTAAATTAGTCCTTCTTACTTTCAACCGTTAAATTTTTGTTATGATAGTATCTAAAAGAATAGCATTTTATTTTTTCGCTTGTGCCAATTTTCTTCGTTTACCTCCGATATCTCTTCGTTCTCTCCGATTTATGAATCTGAATTAAAGTCTTGCACGGGTGCAGCGAGTGCAGCACCCAAAACAACGGGAGCGTACGTGGACGCCAGGTGTTGTTTACGCCAGGTGTTGTTTACTCCAGTTTACTCCCGTCAATGAGTACTCTTCATTATGAATTATAAGCCGGGAAACTCGGGAAGATGAGCCAATTTGGCGAGGTATCGGCCGTGACTTATTGGCAAATCAGCACTCTTATCCTACGAGACGGACGTAATTTTTTCTGCTGTACCGCGTGGTGCGATCATCCTGCGTCGTGCGTTGACTCATACCTGCTCGGACTGCAAATTCCGAACGTATAACTCATAACGCTATGCCGTGCAACGGCTAGATCGGAACTGGGCGCACCCGCAGTTATTAACGTAGAACGCAACAAAAATCGCTCTCGAAACCACAATGATAATCGCCTCATCTCTCTTGTTCTTTTACGGCTCTCTTTACTTTGCGTGCGCTCAAAAGTATGAGGGCTGTTTTCGGAATTCCGACTTAAACGAACTACCCACTCCTACTTTGGGTCATGCCAGTACGCCCGCCGAATGCATTGCAAAATGTCGTTCTCAATATTACATGTAAGTAAATAATATATCCGATCTGAGAGGTATATGTATTCTCTAAAACTTTTAGAGTGAATCCCACTCTGAAGTCTCACCCTTAAAGATTGAAAATTGAGCCACTCTTTTTTAAGATTAATTCAATTTTCATTCTTTAGAGTAAGGTTCCATTCAAAAAAATGTAGAGAATAGATAAATAATGTTTTCGATCTAAGGTACAATATTGAATGGATTTTAAGATTGTAATCTTTTATTCAATAGATTTGCAGGGCTAATGAATGGACAACAGTGCTATTGCGTTAACACATTTGGTCAGCCATCGGATAGCTGTACTGTCACTTGTGCCTCTGATTCTTCTTACTATTGTGGCAGCTACGAAGCTATGAGCGTTTATGCTACTGGTCAGCAAGGTATGATTTGTAGCAGTACAAATCTTTTGTTTATTCCATATATCACAAATGACTCCAGCAACATTGTATCAATGTTGCAACGTTCCAATAATATTGCAGTGTAATATTATAAATATTGCAATAATGTTGTTGAAAACTTTTATGCTGTATGGGATGTAACTTTTATTATGCAGCGTTGTGTGCCTAATATACTAAACTATCCCTAATATGAATTTGATACAGTGAAACCGTTACTAGAATCAAGGCTAAGTTAAAAAGATAAAAGTTAAGTTAAAAAGTTAAAAAGTTAATTAATTTTAACTTAACTTAGTTACATTTTAGACTCGTAACTTTTTAACTTAGTTACATTTTATCGGTATTAACTTTTAATTTGATTTTTTTGAAGTCAATCCTTAGATACAATGCGAAGCTAATGAGTATATAATTCAGTAATTTTATATTATATAATCGTTACTTGTAAACAAAAATAACCAGATTAAATAAACAAGCTGTATAGTCAAACTTTTTTTTTCTTTTTTTGGTTGTTCGTTCCAAACCAAATTTAACTTTTAACTTTTTAATTACTTTTTTTATTAACTTAACTTTTAATTCAATTAATTTTATTACGGATTAACTTGTATTTTAATTAAGTTAAATTTTCAAGGCTGTTAACTTTAACTTAATTTAGATTTAAAAAAAGTTAATTTACCCAACCCTGACTAGAATACGTTACAATTTACATGAATAAGGATTATGCGTGTATCTTTTGTAGGTCCAAGTCCACCGAGGAGAGTATCGGTAACTGAGGAGGCAAAAGATACTCTCAAAATAACATGGCAGCCACCAGATATACCCAACGGAAAAATAATACTTTATACCATCCGCGCCGTCGTTGAAGAAACATACGCGAGCAACAATTTCACACCTATCGAAAGTCAGATTCAAGGAGGTTCATCGAACATGACAATTCTGAGAGGTCTTCAGCCTGGCACTAAGTATCACATATCTATCACCGCCAACAATATACTGGAGTCCAGTGAACCGGCGAATACCACGGGGTGGACTCTGATAGGTCCACCCGACAAACCAGTTATGCCCAAAATATTAGAATACGGAAAAGACACAATTACCGTCATGCTTACCGAGGGTCACAGCGAGTATGGACCGATTAGCGCATATCAGGTTTTTGTTGTGCAAGCTGGCGCTATACCTCCCCCGATCGATGAAGAGTATTTGAATTACGATTCCGCATCGAAACAAGGATTAAGTTACTACGTTGCTGCACAATTCGAACCGTTGGACTTTCATAGATACAAAAAGTTTGTAGTGGGCGATGGAAGAATGATCGGTGGTTATCATAATCTCCCGTTGCAAGATCAGTTTGTTTCCGCGCAAGTCGGCTTGATGATAATCTCGCGGAAAGCAGCTTATGTACAACGTTCCTATTCCGATTTGGCCAATATCATACACAATCATGAAATGAATCAAATGGACACGACTGCTCTTGCGCTTTGCATAGCGATCACGCTGTTGAGTATACTACTTGCCATTTCGATATTGGTATATTTTATATTGCGACGGCGACACGAGAAATTCCACATGCAGAAGTTGCCAGAGCAGCAGGAGCTCACGTTGCAGGGTCCGGTATATGAGGTGGACAATATGGGCTACATTCCGGAGGATATCCCTGAAAGGGTAAATCATTATCAAGAATTGAAGAAGAAAGTCTGGAGTATACCGCAAAATGCCTTGTCCGTTGATGATCACGTCATGCGCAGAGGACGATTTGGCAGCGTGCACATCGGAACCGTTTTGAAGGATGACAAATCCTGTCCAGTAACAATCCACACCATAGTCGACGGCGCACTGAAGGGATCTGATAAGAGGCATATGCTGAGAGAATTAGATGTGTGCATCCGAGCGGGTTCCATGAAATATCTCGCGGGTCTCGTAGGGACCTGCGAGACCACCGACATGTTATACGTCGTGTTGGAGCTACCGCCTCAGATCTTGAAGGACCGTTTGTTAAGCGCGCGATCGGGGGATTTGTTCCCTACAAATCAAATATTGTCTATCTCATCCTCGATAGCGATCGCTTTGCAATATCTGGCGAGCCATAAGATCATCCATAGTCGCCTCTGCGCGCGAAGCGTGGGACTGTCGAGCGATTGGACTCCGAAACTTATGGGTCATGGTATCGCCAAGTATGCCTTGCAAGACTTAAAGTACGCAAGGTGGACGGCCATCGAGTGCTTCGATAATCAAACGAAGCATCAGCCGGGCGTGATATGGGCGTTCGGCGTGCTTCTCTGGGAGATATTTAGCATGGGTGGTACACCGTACTCAAATTTGGCACTCGATAGTGAAGTGGAGGACGCGATTATGCGAGGTATCCGGTTACCGCAATTACTAGATGTCACAGACCCGATTTACGAAGTCATGTTATCCTGTTGGAGAGACGATCCCGAAGAACGGCCCACTTTCGATGAACTTACACGATTGGTAAGTAACAAAAAATCAGTTCCCTAATAATAACAATAACAATATTATACGTCCTTATAATGTTATTAATTCTTTAAATTATATTTATACATATTCTTTCTTTTATATAGGATACCTTGAGCGTTTGTCCTATTACTGCAATCACGGAGCCCTACTCATCGGAATTGGAGTTGAATTAACATTCATTTACTATCTTTAGACATACCTGCATTTATTTAGTAACGTATCGAAGTTGTAAATATCTCACTGTGTTCACGAGACCCTCGTAGATTTTATCGTTACCAATGTAGGCATATGTTTATTATCTGCATTTTCTCTCTCTCTCTCTCTCTCTCTCTCTCTCTCTCTCTCTCTCTTTGTCTGGCATTCTAAATTTAAATTTTACTATAATAATGTAAGTGATATAAATGTTACAAAAACATTCACGACTAATTCCGTCCATGTTTAATGAAAAATAATTGAGATTAGTATGTAAGTAAGTTAGGATAAGATTATAAATATAGTTAAGATAAAATTATAAATATTTACATAGACATAATGCACCGAGCATTACGGTAGAAAATATTTTATTTTTTAACGTTTCTACTTATATATTACATTAATTACATTCGTAAATGTCAATCTGTCTCTTTTACATGAGATTTTAATTTACAGCAATACCAAGGCAAAGAAAATACTTTATTACCTGTTGATTGCGAGATCTATAAATATATATTTTTATTATATCTTTCAGAGAGAGTTACTAATGTGTTTTAGTATTTACGCATTTAAATCCATATTACCGTACTCATTCGATAATATTGTCACTTCAAAAGTACAAATGTATTAATATCGAATTAATATATACGTATCTGTAGTGTACATGTTCTTAAATAATCAGCAAAATTGCCACGAAAAACAACATTTGAATGTAAAACGAAAGATAATCTTTTAGAGACGTTAAAATGTTTTTTTTTTAAGTTATTTATTTTGAATTTTTTATATACACAACTTATGCCATATAAATTGTACTTTTGTGTTAAGTTGAATATCGATTTTTTAAATATGTATTTTTTAATTTGTCAATTATGTGATGTATGTTTCTGTTGTATAGTATATGTTCCGTTTTCTGCATTTTATGGAAGCATACGTATACTTTGTGTATTAAGTAGAATTTTTATAAAAATATGTCACTATGTTATAATATTATGATATAATGTTTGTATATTAAGAAAAATACAATTTTTATATATACTTTTTTTCTTACGCTTTTCGATGTCTTATTCCAAATAAAAGTAAAAACATTTATTGTCTAGTTAGTGAAAAAGTTTCTGTCTTTTAACATAAACTTAATCTATAGAATCACAAAAATAAATTTGTAATCAAACACAAATCTACTGTTTTTAAATTCGTAATTTAATAGTTAAAGTCTTAAATTAGCAGTTAAACTCTAAACAAAAAAAATCATTTATTTACTAGGCAAGCGCTTAATTTCTTACGAAAAATAAAAAAAATGATACGTATTATTATGCGTCTACTTTTTCGCCATTAATCCGAGGCGATCGATTATTTCCGGAACGGAAGATACGTTTATATCGTATGGGGTGTCAAAAACTTGCTCGAGTGAGAATGCGTCGGTTTGGGACCGATTGTAGGTGTCCTACTTGAAACTGGGCACAGAATCTGTTTGTATGCCTCTCTGTACAGTTTGTTGGTGCCGGCATAAATAAAAGGATTTATCACCGCGGATGCCCATGCGAGCACAGACGCCACTATATGAAGTATTGGATACTTCATCTTATCGTCGATAACGTTCACCAGCATCAGCGGCATGAAGCACAACAGGAAACAAAGGAATATAGTAAGCATCAGTCTAGTCACTCTCGAGTCTTCCCGCCGTTGAAAGCCACCGCCTCGTCGACCGCTTTCCGCTGCGTGAGCCTCGAGATTCTTTCGGCTTCTGCGTACACGCCAATATATGCAGAGATACGAAACACTGATCACCACGCATGGTACGATAAAGCCAAGAATGAACAGAAACTTCTTCGGACTTGAGCCGTTTTTCTTCAGTATGGTGCATGAGAAGGTGGCCGGATCTAATCCTAGAGTACCCCAGATGCCTAATAAGGGTGGTAGCAGCATCAAGAAACTTAGAGTCCATATACCTATTAACATCAGCATTATGCCACGAGTAGTGTATAACTGGTTGTAAATGTCCGACTGTGAGATCAGTATATATCTGGAAAAGAAAACAAAATTTCGACTAGTATATATTAAAAAAAATATAGATATATTTACGTTATATCCTTAAGATATATTAAAATTACACTCTAAATTTCTTACTCCAAGAAAGTGAAAATACAACTACCCTTGAAAAAAAATAAAAATATTTTACTTTTTGAAAAAGTAACAATTTTCACTCTTTTTAAAGTGAAATCTCACTCTAATAAAGTGAGATTTTATACTCTAAAAAGAGTAAAGATTGTCACTTTTTTTCAAGGATGGTTGGATTTTCACTCTCTTGGGATGAGATTTCACTGCAAGAAATTTAGAGTGTAAAATATTTTTCTTAGATATATATTAATGCGCATTTGTAGGATATATATATATATTCCTTTTTTAATCAAAATTTAAAGGAAAAGAATTATTGTTGAAATTCACCTGTTGATAGTAATGGCCACCATACTGAGTAAAGATACAGCGACGTTTCCGTAGAAGAATAAGGGGAATATTTTGCATAGGGTTTCACCCAGAACCCATGCTTCGTTCAAATATCTACTGGCGGTTAGAGGCAAGTTTACCGCCGAGAAGATCAAATCGGAGATACTTAGACTTATCACAAATGCCGTGGTGGCGTGTCGTCTCAGTCTGGTATATTTTAACAATGCGATTACCGTTATTAAATTACCTGGAATTCAGATATAGGATTCAACTCATTATTAAAGATTTAAAGTCGCCACCAAGTAAAACGGATTGGAAGAAATAAAACCGTTACCTAATACTCCAATAATGCTGAATATTATAGCGCATACTGCAGCAGTAATAGTCTCGGAGCGTGTAAATGGCTTGGAGCTTCCAGCCTCCGAAAAGATTTCAACGAAAGTGTCATTTACTACAATGTGCCCCATCTTTTAGTAAATGCGCAGAAAACAGTTTTTTTTCCTTCGCATTCTTTGGATAATCAAAAATCGTCGAGATTCATGTGCTACAAAAAATAAGGAAGCACATATAAAAAAATTATTTTATTTTAAAGGTCATTAACATACAAAAAAAAAAAGGTAAGATGTAAGCAGTAAGCAAATCAACATTTTAAATTTGCTGCTGTTTTGATTGATCAATTCGCTTCTTACGTCTTACATTTTACTATATATGCTATAATTTTAACAAACTATTTTAATTCTAAGATTCTAAAATTCTGCTGTTAATTTTTATCTTCCAATTTGCCAGTTTCCGGTTTATGAAAATTGAAACCGATGGTAATAGAAAAAAGTAGAAAAATCTCGAGAATTTCTTAACTCATGAATTTATTTAATTAATGAATTAATTTAATTTTTTTATGAACTTATTTAATTAATTTTCCAAAATCCCTCAAAGATTTCTCTCAAAAATAGCTTTTTAATTCATCTCTTTCTCGCGAAATAACCAACGACCCTCGCACGCAATTAATCGCATTAATTTTCCTCATCTACTTCGTTTACACTTCTCGTTACTCCTTCTTTCATTCATTACTTTCTATTTGTTCTATTAATTCCCTGAATTTTCTCGCCGTGGAAAGACACAGACAGAGAGAACATGCATCCCTCCATATATACACATATTCCGAGGAGCTTTATCGCACATGCCGCATCAATTAATTTCCATATTTCTTCATGTTCGTTCGCTCTGCCGTTAAGAACACACCATTAGTCATACCGATAAATTTTTGTGACCTTCTCAGAATACTGCTTAGTGGCTGCAGCAACAACACGAACTTTGGCCGCAAACAGCAGGAGCTCACACCGAATCGTTTCGTGACGCTACATTGTAGTTATTGTTAATTAACTCGCAAAAGGTATTCTTCCAGAAATTACTGTAGTACTTTATGTCCAATTAGATCGTTATCTCTGAACAATTCGCCCCAATTATCCTCTTTCTTCCTTGTAATTAGCTCTTGATCGCTGCAATTCAACTTGTTCCTTAAATAAACTCGTTTTGCTCGTAATTAAACATGCACTTTCAGAAGTTTACATTATGTACGTATTCATTATCACTTTTTTTTTCTCAATTAGTAATTTTTTTCGTCTTTGTAAAAAACAAAGAAATGGCTTATTCGATTTAATTTAGCGCATCATCACTGCGAATTTATCACTGATTAATTCCAAAAAAATCAACGTTGCTATTTTTTTTTTTAATTATGTGTTAATCCTATATTTATTCGTAGACGTTATAAACGTTGCCACAGTAAATGCGATGCTTAAATTGCTCCCGTTATTTCGGTAGACGTTCATCCGCAGACTGACGAACTCTACTGACGCGTATCCCTTTACGAGTACACCACAAGTCTCCTTATCTAACTCACTCGATTTAACTCCGCCTCTTCTTCTTCTTCTACTTTTTCCTCTTCTTCTTATCCTTTCCTTCCGTTTTATTCCACTCTTCGCGCCTGTAATTTCACTCAGATCTCAGCATTCAAAATCTCCTGGGATTTATTTATGTATCAGTAATTGCGATGATAATCCACAATAATTCATTTTTTACTTACATATTTAGACATGAGAGAGAGAGAGAGAGAGAGAGAGAGAGAGAGAGAGAGAGAGAGAGAAGGAAAGAAAACGCTAAAGGAAAATATACCGTGAAAAAAAATGCTCAATATAGGCCTAATCATATATATTTTGGATTAATTTAAATTTAAATGATAGAATTTTTCATAAAAATAATAATCCTAAACGTTTCTGATTAGTAGTTTAAAATTAATTTAAATGACGATTTAAATTTTATTTAAATAACTTCTGTTTATATAAATTATTTTGTTGTAGAAATAAAAATGATATATCTCATATTATCATATTTGGAAAATTAATTTTAAAATTCATAAAAAGTGTGCAGGTTTTAAATTAAGAATCAATTTATTCAGCTTGTATATCCGCAAAATCACATCATGTTATCATAAATTTCTCTTTGTTTGATATTATTTCTGAGATTGTAAAACATTAATGCACCGAACACGTTAAGTGAGGCGTGCTGTTCCAAAAATAGCAATTGGGTGGATATTATGTTCTGATGTGTGCGATTATCATCCTAACCAGCATTCCATTTGTCGCACTCTATTTCACTCCATTTTCATCCATTTCGTTGTTTGCTTTACATGATCGAAAGTTTATTTGTCTAACACAGGCCGCGCCTCGCTTTATTTTCCTTTAAAGAGAGCCGCATATAAAGTTATCGGAAGAGGAAAATTAATAAAGATCGATGACACAAAAAATTGTAATATTATTTAATCGAGTGTTAATTGCATAAAAATAGAAACAATTAATTTACGATTGGCAGTAGAATGTAAAAATTTCGAACATTGGATCAGAGAAAGAACTTTGTAGAATCTACTCTAGAGGCATCACTCAACGCGATTTTGAACACTCGGTATATTCGCGTCATAAGCTAGAAGCATGTTTGTTTCTTTTCTTATATATGTCTTCTTTTCACATTCGTGATTTTTTTCTCAAAAGGGAAGTCAACATAATTCGATACTAATAAAAATATGTACATAAATTTTACATACAAATATAAATAATTTATAAAAATAAAAAGATATACAAAATTTTTTATGTTAAATTATTCTAATTCACATCTGTAATTTTCTTTTTTTGTAGAACAATATGTAACCGAATATGTGGTTATTCTTGTATAAGAACAGTTGATATCCCAATCAGAAATGTATGTTTACGAAAACATTTAGTTTTATAAACATAAATTTCTGTTTAGAATAGAAATTATTCTTATATAGAAAGAGATGTTTTTTGTACTGTATAAAAATATTAAATAGATGTTAAATATATGTTTATTAAACCGCCGAAATGTCTCGTATAAAAACGGTATTTTAAACTAATAAAAAAAAAACTATTTAACAGACGTGTACTTATAACGTTTATTAAATAGTTTAAAAACGTATCAAATTTTAAAGTTTATTTTTCAGTTTACATGATTTCGGACATTTATTAAATATATTTTGATCGTAACACCATATTGTTTGGGACATTTCCAAATCTCACGGATTATCTGATTAACATTCGTGTTTTCCGCCCATCCTTTACGTCTTCTTGAAGCACGTGGCGTGCTCGAAATACATCCACACGTGAATTACCTTGAACGGCACGTGTCTTGTTTGCAGGATCGTTCGATCGGGTGTTTTATCCTATCACTAAGTACACACCCATTATATCCATGTATCCACATCCACGAAGTCATCAAGCACATTATCTCATTCCGACAAACGGCTACAATAAATTGCCCTCGACTCACCGGTGAATCGTCGTGATAATAAATATGACGACTGGCACGTCGGATAGACGGCGACTAAACGCCGGACTCGCTTCCCGATCCCGAGTGATCGGCGAGCGCGAATGTGACTTACCTCCGTAGGTAGCAGCTGTCAAGGGCTACAAAGGGCACCGAACAATTGGAAAGGAGTGGCCCTCGACAAATAAAACTCACCCTACTGCCTTCTTTCATCCCTGCTGCGGTAACGGCGCCGCTGCGGCCGGCTGTGTCGAGCTCTTCGGGCTGATTAAAGGTAAGTCTCAGATCCCTTGCTACAGAGGGAAACGTCGCGTCGTCGCATAAAAACATCATATCGTGCATACCGAACACAGCGTAGCGAGTGATAGAAAAGTTATTTTAGATTTTTGTTCACGTCACGTATTACACTCTCAGTCCACTTTAGATGATTTATAATTCTAGCGTCAGAATCTATTTATCAAATTCTATTTATAATTTTGTTTACCATGTGGTCTGACGTGTATTTTTATATATTTTATTTAGCATATTTTATTTATACACGGAGAGAATTTTGTTTTAAAATTTACCCCGAAAGTATGGTAGTTGTAGTACAATAAAATATTTTAAAGATTTTTACCGTGCATTTCAGTAAAATTAATCAAACTCATTTCATATTTTATCGTAGTTTTATTAATGAATGAGGGAGATCTACATTAAAAAAAAAAAATTCTTGGAAATACAATGTTGTTCCACGACTATCATATTTTCAGGTATAAACTCTAAGAAAAAATTCTCTCCGTATAATATTTGATTATATTTTATATATATATTCGGATCTTCTCCACATATTTTCTGTATTATATGGCACATGAAATTAGAAATAGAATTCTATTTTAAATTCTACTTAGATCGTTTATTATTATTATACATTGCCTAAAGAAAGTGAGATATATATAGGGCGATATTTGCAGAAAGAAAAAAATTTAAGAACAGATTATAATGTGCGCGCGTGCATTTACTAAATGATTTTATAGTAAAATATGTTTAATCGTTTATGAGACCCGAGAGAATATCTTCTTATATAAAATAAAAATAAACGATAACCGCGTAGATAATTTATCAGTTCTAAAAGTCGTGCATGTGTGTGTGTGTGTGTGTGTGTGTATCATAGATTATTTTCGTGGTTAACCACTCGTAAAAAAAAAAAAACAAAGCGCAAGCAATGAATACATCTCGAACAATGGATTGGGACGGTTAGAAATTGAAAGAAGTTTGAAAAGAAACACTTTTCATTTCTATTTAATGAATCAAGAATATAGTATGCTAAGTACATTTATATATATTTCGACATGTTAAATATTCAATTTGTGTTTGGAATGTATTTTTTATTTTCTAATATTTACTTTTTTGTCTTTGTTTTAATCTACATGGTGAGATTCGATGAGACGGAAAAGATCCGAAGGAACTTTGCTATAATGATCTTTAGTTTTTGCTGTTAAATGTTTCGTTGAGTATTCCATAGAAATAAATCTTCCATAGGAATAAATCTAGTTCTCTAGATTAATATCGCTATAAGTATTGAGTTAAATACTCATAGGGTTTAATCTTTACAAATATATATTGACGAATATCGTCAAATAATATATCTCTGTACAAATATCGATTTATCGTTTTCTAGATAGCCATACCAATCTCATAGCTTCACAGAGTTAGTGTTACGAGTCTTTACAAAGTGGTGATCAAAAATCACGTGATGGTTGAAATAAGACTCGCTACGTCACATAGAGTCTCGGATATAATGCATTATTTATTCGCTATGTGTGCGCTCCTACATCATCAGTCACTGTGATAATATCGCGTGCCTTGACTACAATTTTCAGTGCCGGGTTAAAGTGTGGGTCAGTCGGACAATCGAGTACCGTCAAGGTGTCACGCAGCAACAAAGAATAATCCTCGTTGAATATCTATGCCCGAATGCTCCAATTCAATTTAACAGAGAAAAATGTGTTATTAGTTACGAATGATATTTATCAAAGTTTCTTGCTGATGAAGTTTTTTTAAAGGTCAGAGATTGTGACCCTCTTTTCTTTTTCTTCACAAGATGTGAGATAGGAATAAGTTCATAAAATCGCATTAATTTTTTTTTTAATTTACATTGCTTTCGTTAATTATTGTTAATTGAAAAAAGTATATATTTTATATATATGCTTTTAGTAGTAATGTGTGATTTCTTTGGCGGAATGCAAAAGATGTTTCTGACGTTTTTATCTTATCTCTTTGTTTATGGTTTTAAAAAGAACAGTTGGAAATTCCGAATATTAACAATGAAATTATAACTAAGGGGAAGTGAGAGTAAATAACTGCGCGATAATCAATGTATTATAATTATAAAATATATTTAAAAGTATATTCAAAATTTTACTACATACGTGCCGAAATATTCGAACAATATTCCGAATACTTCTTCGAAGAAAAATCGATATTAGTCTTCATTGCATTAATAATTTCCGAGCTTCTCTTCGCTTTTCTAGTTTTCTCACCTCCGCGGAGAACCACTGATTCGCGTACTGAATGAACCCATTGTGTGCGGCCTGCTGAACTCATACGCCATTTGAATTCAACAGTGCGCTATTCACGAAATATTTGTGCGCGCGCGCGAAGGCTCTGCAAGGGAAAGGGTGATTTTAAGAAATTTATCAAAAGATGACAAACATGACGTCCTTCTCCGTTTATTTGCCAGGGAAGCTGGCCTTAGTCTCGAATCCCTTCAGAATTGGAGTAGAACCGCTCGGCGTTGCGATGACATACAATGAGGGGAACCGTAATCGCGCACATGGTTTCGACGTAACTGGACTCTGCAATAATAAACAACAAAACCCATTTCCGGGCCCTACGAATTGAGAAAGATCGATGGGGACACAATAGTGTTACTTCGTTTAATCACGTTGGTCCCACCCCCCCCCCCCTTGATTGTGATCCTTTAATTATCTATGCGTGATTGGGCAATCGTGTATACTGGTATCATTATATTTATGAAAACATCATAAGACAGGAAATATTTTATCATCGATGATATCACGTGTTCGACAATTTCCTTGCGCGATACCGCAATAAATTGCAAGGACGCGGCGTGTCATAAAAGTGTACATAA